GCGTCCGATCACTCCTGGTAGCGATGCCAGGAGCCCCTAGTAGCGTCGGATCGCTCCTAGTCTGCCTCGTTCCTTCGAGGCTATGATGTGAAGAACTTTTACAAGACCACGGGTTGGGCCCAGTGGATTGCTCGTCACCCTGTGTTTGAGAATGTCACCATGACTATTATTGCCCCTCGGCCCAATAAGAATACAAGGTGTTGTCATCATATAGCAATCAGCATGCAGTCGAATTTGCCTCTTGAATCGAAGCAGGTCATATATGCACTCTACATGTCAATCGATGCTGCGACCTGATTGCACAAAGTGTGCCAGATGATCCCCTGGGCCCTGGCCGGCATATCCTGCAAGTAACTCAACGCTGCAATGAGCACTTTCCAAACCAGGTGTTTTAGTGATACACATTGTTCAACCGGAAATAGACTCGGAAATAGCAATAGACCTCTTTTTGACATGTGGCATGTTTTGTTTCTGGGGAAGTCCTAAACGGATATACTGAGGACCTCAATCAAGCAACCATCATCACTGACACCCACCCAGCCTTCATTGCTTGCGAGTACCCCTGGCTGCACACAAGGTCCAAGTACCATTGGACATTCACTTGTTTAAGAGGATTTGTTTCAATCAATCTGCGCTCCAGGTCCAAACAATGTGAGAAGTAGAACCGGTAGAACTCAGGCAGAACTCAGGTCTGTCAACTGTTCAAGTCGCATTGCGAATTCCTCGCCGAGGCAGTTCTTTTGCATGTACTTTTTCGTGGAGACATGGCCTTTGAAGTACCACTGTCAGAAAAGAAATCGAAAAGTGCCTAAAGAGTTCTACATGTCGGGACACTAGTGACTTTAATGGAAAGTGTGCCTCCCCTGCCCAATGTTGTTTCTTTTCTTTTGTCGTTCAACATGGAAATTCCCTGCATATTTGACTGACTGAGGAGCTCTTGATCCGCCTCTTTTCTAAATCTGGGTTTGGTTGCAGTTTCAGTTCAAACTCTTATTGCTGTTTAAATGCTTCTGTTAAATCTAACTTGTTCAACTCAC